GTTTAAAGCTAAGTTCCAGCCTTCATTTTGCTGGAATCTCAACTCCTAAGAAATTCAACATACATGACATGAGCCCCTACCACTCAAGGACTGAATCCGATGTCCAGCCCGCACGGCAGCAGACATACCTTGCTTATTGCAAGCAATCAGCAGCGCGGGTGCGTTTTTGAGCACAGTGCTATCAACCAGGACCTGGTACAGGAACTCCGCCACATCCTTCACCTCCCGCTGGAAGGCCACACTGTCCACCACAAACACAATGGCTCTGGAGGAAAGAGGGAAGAACATGTGCTGGGCTTGAAGCTCTGCAACCATCTTCCCCTGCAAGTATTCCAGCCTGGGCTAACACATTTGTTTCCACAACTGATCTCATCCAACCCAAGGGCAGGTTAGCACATGCTGGCTGAAATACCCGCCACGTTCAGCCCCAGCAGGAAATCTTTCCCCCTCTGTCCCACGGATATACCACATCCCCTAAACCCTCCCCATTGCAGTTGTTTTGCCTCCTGATGCACTACAAACACAGGTAACCTGGAAAGCAGAACAATGACTAACCCCCACTACCCCAGAGCAGAGCTCTGACCCTCAGGGCACCACCACACAAAGTGTGGCTCACAGCTCCTCAGCACCATCATTTGGTTCATCCCTGTCCAAAACATCACCTGCCCCCTCCTCCCCTGCCAATCACCCCAAGTTACCTGGCTGCAGCCTTGAACCTCTCCAAGAACTGAAGCCGCAAACTCTCATGGCCTGGAAGGTCGATTAAGGTCACATTAGCACTCTGGAAACAGAAGCAAGAAGGTATCAGCAACACCTAATCTAGGGGTACCTGTGATCACAGACCAGGGAAAACCAGTCTGATAGTGGATTCCAGTTAGCCTGGTGTTGAGGCAGTAGTGGGCAAGTGAATCCCCATACCAGGCAGAAGCATGCATCTCTCCCCGACATACAGCCTCTCCACCAGCCCAAACAATTCTGACAAGCAAAAGAAACGCTGAGGAATGACAGTCGTGGCCAGGACTCAGTAAGGAGGGCGCTCAACACCAGAAAACCACCCACCAGAGCTGAGAGGACACAGAGCATGACCACAGAGAAAAGATAATGTTCAGCCCGTTTCTCATCCACAATACCCCCCCTACAACTACCACAGGCACAGTGTGAGTGACAAAGCTTCATCAGTCACCTCTCTTGGTACACCAGCAGATTTACGCTGTCCCTGACAGCAAACAGATCTCTGCACAGCAACATCACAAACTCCTGTCCTGCAAGTCCCTGATACAGAATACTAATCCCACAGTCTCTGAATAAAGATATCTATTCATGCACAGAATCTACCCAACTGCAAGCCTACCTAAATACACGTAACTTTGCTGGGAATAACACAAAAATGACCTTGCAATAGACTTTTTTAATTGAAAGCTACAAACACTTCCCTTTCCACAGGTTGCCAGCCAGAGAAAGCAGTGACATTAAAGAGAACAAATGCCTCTCACACTCCTTATCGAGATGTGGCCAAGTAGGGCCACATCACCATTCTCAAGATAACACTCCTTGTTCTCAAGAGGGGAGAGCACACTACACAAAGACTCTTTCTGCTCACTACTCTTGGATTTTAATGGAAACCTTGTCTACAGTTTAAAAAAAGAAAAGCAGCAGTCCACATTGCAGCATTCAGCACCTCTCTCGCTCCAAATACCTCCTGTCTGCTCAATCCTAGAGACACAAATATAAAAAAAAAAAAAACCACGCTTGCCTTTACTAAGTTTTTAACCTCTTCTTATCACCACTGTTACTGAAGATTGCCATAGAGAAGCCACAAAAACATCCTCTACTTTTACAATTCACCAGCATGTAACATGCTGCCAGCCTGCTGCTTTCACTGCCACATGTGCACCCAGCAAGAGAAAAAAAAAACTGTTCTGAAGTGAAAGAGATCACCATAAACAGAAAATAACTAGGTCTGTGGCAGCCCAGGACCTGAAAGTAACCAAAACCCTTTTTGAGACCATACAAAGTTCATCTGGAGACTCTTTTTAAGCCTACTAAAGCTTTTAAATTCAAATTTTCTTGGGAGACACAGAAATTACTGCTCAGCAAATAAATCAAACACAACAGAACAATGTTCCCTCACAAATCTTACTCCTGCTCTGAGGCACACCACCGTCCTCACAGTGCTGTGTGTTTTACTCCACTTGTAAAGCAGCTCCTCTTCCTCTTCTATAGAAAAAAACCACCACATGCTACCTGCCTTTCAAAACATGATACACGGACATGGTTTTCAGTCAAAAAGGTTTCACAATTTGACAAACAAAGAAAAAAGAACCTGCACACGGGAGGAGTCCCTAATACCTTCCAGTATTTTCCTACTGTCTCAGCATGCATTGCCTAGAAAAATCCTATCCTACACTCGGACCAAACTGGGGACTGATTTCAAACTGGGAAGACTGAGCAGCACAAAATGCATCAAGCCAGGTTTAGCACAGGGATCACAAAAACAAAGGCTGAAGCAACCACACACAAGTTACAGCTGAAAACCTGCCTGCTCACCTTGTCGTTGCTGACTCTGTAAACTGCAGAGCTGTCAGTTATCGAGGTCTGGGTATCACGGTATTTGCCTGTCAACAGCTATGGAAAAAAGTCATTTTTATTAAAAGGAGGCTGGAGGAACACTGGCATCACGTTTCATCCACTCAGAAACTGAAATCATATGTAAGGGGTAACAGACTTCAGACATATGATTTCAGTTTACATGTATGAAACAGTTTCAGTGGTTTTCTTCCCCAAATAATTTAAAAGACACTCATTAAGAAAAAAAAAAAAAGATCTATTTATATACTGAATCTCTACATTGCTCTAACAAAAAGGACAAGAGTGTGCCTGCAAATCCTTCGGGGCACCTTCACCTCCGTACGAGAGGATGCCAGACGGCTGGCAGGACGGCTGGAGCCGGGCAGTTCCC